CTTGTGCTTCGAGGTATAGTCCACAGTTGTCAATTACAAGTTGTACCAATTCCATATTCCCACCCTCACATGCTGCATGAAGTATAGTGCATTTTCTATTATCCAAAGTATTAATGCCATCAGGATGAATACTATACAAGTAAAGAAAAACATCAATATGGCCATGACTGCAAGCTGTATGAAATACAGTGGATCCTTCATTATCAGTAGCTGTAAGGAGATTATGATGAGTAGAACTACCAGTGACTGAGAACAGTAAAGCTTCAGCAGTATCCTTATGACCAGAGGCAGCTGCCAAGTGTAATGGTGTCTGTCCTTTCTTGTTAGTAATCAATAAGTCATTGTTAGACAGACTGGCTTTTAGTAACAGTAATACCATATTCTGTCGTCCATGTTGACAGGCTACATGTAATGGTGTATTACCATCTTTATCTTGTACATTAATAAGTACAGCATTATGTGGATTATTGTATATGTCATGAGGACTGTCTAATAAACACTTTATCTCACGTAGCCAGACAATACTCATTGAGGGTATACTCTTACTCAGTAAATATTGTAATATTTCATCTTTATTAGCTGCTACAGCAACATGTAGTGGTGTACAGTCTTGATGACTGATTGTATTAGGATTACAATAATTATTATCAATGAGATACTTCAATACATTCAAGTGACCCCTCTCTACTGATATGTGAACTGCTCCAGACCCTTTACCATCAGTAGCTGATAGATTACACTTCTTACTATTAAGATATTTAATAACTTCTAACTGATTGAAGTACACTGCAATAAGGAATGGAGTACGACCATCTTTACTGTCAGGTAGTTCAAGTGATGATGGTATGTGTTCTATAATGTACTGGATTAAGTTCAATCTTCCATTACTACACGCTAAGTGAATGGGAGCCATTCCATCATCATTGTCAGCAAACAGATCTAACTGATGATTCTCTACCAAATGTTTGAGTATAGGAAGAGAGCCACTGTACTGACAGGTAATGTGAAGAACTGTTGATCCATTAGAAGTCTTAGCTGCTACATTACACTGATGAAGACTAGTAAGATAAAGTACCACAGGAACATGACCTCCTTCACATGCTTTATGAAGAACTGTACTACCAGTAGTAGTAGTGGCATTAACATCACACTGATACTTGTTAATTAGTTCCTGTAGACAATGTAGGTTACCATTATAAGCAGCTGAATGAGCTAGTGTGTACTTGTTATTGCTAGTGTGATTAGTAATATCCACACTATACTCCTGACTGTACCATTCCAGTATATGAGTATGACCAGTCTCTGCTGCTGCATGTAATGCTGTCGTGCTATATTTATCAATATTGATAGGTTCAAGCTTACACTGTTGTGTTAGTAATTGTACTACATCAAGATTACCTGAGAAACAGGCAAATGTGACACATGTTTGATTATGTGTATCCTTAGCATTGACATCACATTTCATATCATTTATTAGAAATGTGACCAATTGAATATTACCACTCTCACAGGCTAAATGCAATGGCACCCAACCCTCATTGTCAGTAGAGTGTAATAAACTAATGTATTGAGGATACTGACTGGTGATATGCTTGATAAAGTGAGTGTGACCTTTTAAAGATGAAAAATGAAAAACATTCCAACCTTTGCTGTCTGTTAGGCTCAGACTACACTTGTATTTCTTCACATATAATTCCAGTAGTAAAATATCACCAGATTCAGCAGCATAATGAATTGGTAGCTTATCATTACTGTCAGATTGATGAGGATCTAACTGATAGGTAGTTATTAATTCTTTAACAAGAGATAAGTTAAGAGACCATGAGGCATAATGTAAAGCAGTGAGGCCATTCTTAGTAACTGCATTAGGAGACAAACCTTGTTCAGTAATAAGATACTTAACTAAATCAAAGTTACCACTCCATGCAGCATGATGTACTAACATGCATCCTTCATTATCTGTTTCATTAATATCACAATGCTGTACATCAATGAGATATTGAGTGATATCAATATGACCGTTACAACAAGAATGATTAAGACATGTCATACCATACTTATCAGTGACATTAGAATCACTGTTATGATTATTAATAAGATATTTAACAGAATTAATACTACCTGACCAGCAAGAGTATACTAATGGTGTACGGCCATAAGTATCAGTATCATTAGCATTGAGATTATACTGAGATATGATATAACGTAATACACTAGTAGAACCTGACAAGGCAGCATAATGTACTGGATGCTTATCATCATTAGTTAATGAACAATTGATATTATATTCTTCTAATGCTTTTAGTAAGGTAGTGCCACTCCATGATGCAAAATGAAGTAATGACAGGCCATCATTTGTAGTGACGTTGATGCTGAAGTTAGGACAAGTGTTAGCTTTTTTAAGAAGTGACGAAAACATTTTAACTCTTTCATTTCGTTTAATAAAATTAATATTAGTTTTTATTGTAGTATTATTAATTTTACCAATAACTGATGCATCACGTTGTGCCATAAGCTTACTATACACAATACCAGCTGGAATATGTATACCAGAATGACATGCATAATGCAAACATGACATACCATTGTTATCACTTTCAAATAATGCTTTATTACCTTGAATACTAACAATATACTCAACAACTGATGATGAAGCAAACCATGAAGCAATATGAAGTAGAGTCCTACCATATTGATCCTTTACATCAATGGATAATTGATATTGATTTAAAAGATACTTAAAAAGCTCAACACTTTTATTATTCATAGAACGACAAGTATAATGTAGTATACCAGCCCCTGACTTTGTTATGTCATCTGGTGAGAAGAGGTTTAATAATTCCAGCTTGTGGATTAATGCTAGCTCTCCACTTTGACAAGCTAACAATGATAAAGACTCGCTATAACAATTGATCTGAAAAGAATTACAATTTCTCTCAATAAAGAATTTCACTAGGTCAGAATGGCCCCCCATTGCTGAGTACAGTAATGCAGTGTTATTGCTACTGTCTGGTTGATCAGGAGGAACATGACACGTGTCTACTAGATATTGTACTATAGATAAGTAGCCTTTATAAGATGCCATATGTATACTAGATACACTATTATCATCACCTTCATTAGGATCAATACCATATTGATGGATGAGTAGTTGAACAATCTCAATGTGTCCACCATATGATGCAGAGTGTAGTGGAGTCCAACCATGAAGACCACGATGATATGTGCTGTAACCAAAGTTGACAAGAAGCCATTGTACTTCATCTTCTAATCCTCTCCAAGCTGCTTCATGTAATGGTGTACTGGTATTCTCATACCATAATGGATCACATATATCTATAAGTAAAGAATATTATTATTAACACATGTGTTTGACCATTGGCCCACAACAAGAGGGATTGACAAAAGGTCAGTTCATGTACTTACCAATATCAGTGGATGAGTGCTTAACATCTTCTATTGAGAACTGTAAAATTAATATTAAAATTATTTATAAAGTATAATCACAAACCTCTCTTAGATCATATTTATCTTCCCCACATGTTAGTTCAGTGACACCAAGACTAGCTAACTGTTGCTGTAGCTTTGTAGTTAGAGGAAATAATAAAGAATAAAGATACTCAGGAATGAGATGTTTGAATACAAGAGAGCCAGGAGTTACTACAGAAAAATAAAATCTCATTTCGGGAACATCAAATCCTTTTGGTATTGCTCGACGGAAAAAGAAAAGGTCATCTAACGTGTAGTTGTCACAATCAACTCTAGCAATCATTACTCGTGTACCTAGAGGAACACCTTTTACACCAAACTGTACAGCATCAGCATCTTTCAATAGTCCACCACTGTTTATAAAATAATCCTTTAACTTCTCTTCATATGATGACCAAGTTCTTTTCAACGAACGACTGTCAGTCAGGAACACACGAACAAGTTTAACTATCAGTTCATAGTTGAACCATGATACATACTTGTACTCTAAGGTTGTAAAAAGATCTGTCATTGTTTTAATGTCACTAAACTCTTCTCTAACTGCTTGCACTGTAGCTGGATTATTTTTCTTAATAGGACCCAAAAGAGCATGAACACGTCTTTTAAGATACTCTATCACTTTTGGAAGAAGGTCTGGCTCACTCAGGAAGGAATCCATTGTCAGTTGTAGTGCATCAGCAAACTCATCCTGTAGCTCATGTATTTCATTTGTTAATGGGAAATTTATTTCAGGATGAGAAGCATAAACTGTACAAAAGAACAAGAACGTAAAATTTTTACATTAAAGTTGTGGTGTCCTGACGTTTATATACATGTTTCACACGTATAGTACAACTTTCAATATTGTATCAAAAAGGACTTGACTTTTTTGAGCGAAAAACTAACCTCTTGAATTATTTGATTTTCCACTTTCTGGTGACATTACATCATCATTAGAAAAGACATCTCTTATAGCAACTGCTGGTAAGCTTTCATTATGACTAGAGTTACCTCCTAATAAATACATAAACATTATTCATTATGATTCCAAATTTGGTAAATTACCTCCTAAAGGTGACATTCCGAGTGATGTTCCTTCATTATAATTAATAACATCAGTACATCTAGGACCACTCACAGAATAAGGAGTAGTTCCTCCAGTAGTAGCTGGTAGAGGATGAGGAGTAGCTCCTCCAGTAGCAGCTAGTAGTGGATGTTCACAAGCTATTTCATCAGCTAATGCTGAACTTCTTCCTCCTTCTTTAACAGCTACACACACCATTCTCCAGCAGGGACAGCCATAACGTTCATAATCATAATCTTTCATTAGCCAATACTCTAGAACTTTCTGTAGGCAAGAAATTGCATCTCCATGAGAGCTAGCTTCAATGGTATTAATGTCAGTTATTCTCAAACGTAAAGAAATGGCGAATGACTTCCAACAGGCAGAAATAGACTTCACTTTATCATACACTGAGTGATACTCATCAATACCTAAAAAACACTTATTAAATGTCAAATATACCCACAAACTCACTTAGCTCTTTATCACAAACGTTAATAAAAGGAGCAGAGGAAGAAGGGCTTGTAGCCATAGCTAGCAGATCGAGGAACTTATACACCCACGCAAAATACCAGCCCCACCCATAGACTGGGTGCGGCTATAAAATGGCGGCCATGATGCAACTGTGCCTCGAACTGTGCAAGTAAGAAATACATTGTTCTCTTTTTAAGTATATTTTGTCTTTTAGAAAAATCCACCGAGTCTTCTCTCCATTAATAAATTATTCAGGACCTTCAAACCAACCAACTACTGTATAGCAGCTGCACCAGTAAAAGTTATAATTTATTTAGTTATTTTAATTATATATATATATACATATATCATATATATATATATGTATATACATATATATACATGATTAGAAATTTGATATTAGTTATGATCAGTTGAGTACAATATACAGTGTTTTGTTCTCTAATTTTAAGAAATATTCATTACACAATCACTTCAGTGCCAACAACACAATAAAAAGCATTTATATATTAATTTATTATTGTTATTATTAATGGCCCCAGATGGAGGCTGTTAGTAAGGTCTCATGGTTGCTAAGAGACCCGTCCTGGTGTGCACTTTATATTAATTTTAAAAAAGAAACTTAGAAAGAGGTTTTTATTCTACGAGTTTGAATTTATTTTTAACCCTTTATGGATCACTACCCATTATTGTATTATTATTATTATTATTATTGTTGTTGTTCTTATTTATTGTTAATAGCTGGTCCTGATGATCGCGGTTAAAGTGTTTGTTCAAATATTTCATTATTGTCTGGCCAATGACTGGATAGTACTCCATGTACCCAGTGGTAAGATTAATTATTATTGTTGTTGTTATTATTATTATTATTATTATTATTATTATTATTATTATTTCTAGACACATTCCAGTAGTGAGTTAAAGCCATTACTACAAAATGACAGACTGTATGACTTACCTGATGATACAATGGACTGGCTCACTCAGTTTAAAGAAATAAATCATGAACATAATCTGAAGTAAATGATATATAAGTAATAGTATTGATAGTCTGCTTGGATGAGTCACTTCACTACTGGCCATTCTTGATCATATACCCTGTACTATAATAGTACAAGGACTTTGGGAGCAACTTTAAAAAATCCAAACTTGATCGGAATCAGCTCAAACTTTCTGCACAACATAAGAGCATATATGTATCAGAAAACATTATAAAAATTAAGATATATGTCCTTTTCTTTTTTGGTTAAATTCAGCCAAAATGTAAAGGGACCTTGGTCCAATTTTTGATTATAATTGGCTCAAAATTTTTATGTAGCATACCATATAAGAGGATTTGTTGGCGGGAGTTTTTTTTTGTTGGTTTTGTAATGGCTAGCTTATTGGCAGATTTATACATGTAATATTGGCGATTTCTAACAGTTTAATTATATCCCCACCCTTAGGCAGGGTTTTACTTAAGCGGGTATGGTTCACGGACAACTTATTATCAGAGAAAGAAGGGACCTTTTCTGGAAGACTGTGTTCTTTATCACCTGGTTTAGAGACTGGCTTAAGAAAACATAGTAAAGCCATGTTAGCTAGCAGCCTTTAACCATGCTTTTAACTAAATTTTTTACTAAAATTAATGTGGGTGTGGTCACATGCATCAATGCTGGAATTATTCCTTGCGGATTTTATTTTGCCGTTTTTATATAAATCCGTCAATCTGCCAATATCAAATCCCGTCAACATTTCATCTTATATGGTATGTAAAATGTACAAATCTAATAAAAATTTTGTTTTCTTATTTTTAGTTAAAACTGTCTCAAAATTACATCTGAAATAATAACGACACTGTTAAAGCTGGTGACAGTCACATTGATATAATTAAACTGGTATTATATTAATAATAATATGTGACCATAAATGACAAAAGGTACCTTATGGCAGATTT